AGAGAGAGAGGAGACTAACCCTCCTCACCCCCCCCCCCTCTTACGGTGTGATTTTGTAGCTGGGAAAAGTATACATCTCCCTCACTCCTTCCCTCTCTCTCTCTCTCTCTCTCTCTCTCTCTTTTTCCCTCTCTTCTTATCCAACCACTCTCTGCCTCTGCCTATCTCTCTCTCTCTCTCTTCTTATCTAAACCACTCTCTGCCTGCCTCTGCCTCTCTCTCTCTCTCTCTCTCTCTCTCTCTCTCTCTCTCTCTCTCTCTCTCTCTCTCTCTCTCTCTCTCTCTCTCTCTCTCTCTCTCTCTCTCTCTCTCTCTCTCTCTCCTCTCTCTCTCTTAACCAAACCACTCTCTGTCTCTCTCTTTCTCTTTCTCTCTCTCTTCCCTCACCTCTTGACAAACAAAGGAAAGGAATAAGGCTTTTCAAGTATAGTAAAATATATCTAGAATTGTTATGATTCTTGTCAATATTCTTTGCAAGCAAGCGCTACATTTGCCAATTTTTGTTTGATGTATTTAATTTTTGGAAATGCATTTTGCACATCATCAATTGCACTTTGTTTAACTTATTGCATTTCCTTTGTTTAAAATCATTGTTTGTATAATTATCAAATACATTTTCCTTATTTCACGAAGCATATATCTTTTTTCATGTAATATATCTTGCATATTCTATGAAATAAATTTTACATATTTCATGAAATACATTTTGCGCGACTTATTAATCTTGCAGAATTTATATAAGAAATTTGGAATATTTCACAGAATAAATTTTGCATACTTTATGATATACAGTTTGTACAATAAAGTAGATTTAAATCGAACACCTTTGGATAATTCCAAGAAATGTATAATGTACATTATGTCAAATACTCGTTGTATGTTTTCTTGCAAGTACAATATATAATTTGTGAGATATAGAGAGGAATAGTGTGACAAAGATATGATGATGATGATGATGATGATGATGATGATGATGATGATGATGATGATGATGATGGTGATGGTGATGATGATGATGATGATGATGATGATGATGATGATGATGGTGTGGTGGTGGGGATGATGGTGATGATTATGGTGGTGGAGATGACGATGATGATAATAATAAGAATAATAGTCAATAAAATTAATAACAATAACAATTATTATTATTAGCATTATTATTACTATATCATCATTATTATCATTATCATCATTATCATGATATATTTACATAAAAAAAATCGTAGATATATCTGTACAAAGAGAAAATAGAAGAAAAAGAAGAAAAGGAAGAATACAACAGAAAAAGAAAAAGAGAGGGAAAAGAAAAAAAAAAACAAAAAAAAAAAAAACATACCAGAAAAAAAAAAAAAAAAAAAAAATAATAATAATAAATAAACGGAAGAGAAAAAGGAAAAGAAAAGAAAACGGAGAAACAAAACAGAAATACACAGCAAACGGAGAGGAAAAACCTAGCAAGTTTACGCTCCATTTAGCGCAATAATTATTTATTTTCCTCGCTGACTGAAGCCATTAGGCAGTCGATGGGACGCGCCCTCGGGGTCAGAGCCCGCCCATTTGACAGCCGACTGAGCCCGATAATGACGGCCGAGGGGGGGGGGGTAGTGGTGATGAGGGTGATGGTGATGAGGGGTGTGGGTGGTGGGGGTGAGGGGGGTGGTGATGAGGGGGGGGGTGAGGGTGGTGAGGGTGTGGGTGGTGGAGGTGGTGTGGTGATGAGGGGGAGTGAGGGTGGTGGTGGTGGTGGTGGTGAGGGTGGTGATGAGAGTGTGGGTGGTGGAGGTGGTGTGGTGATAAGGGGGGGGGGGAGGGTGGT